GGCGCAGCACTCCCCGGCACGCTCAGATGCCGGGGAGGAAAAGTCCAAGGGGAGGGGGGCAGAGCTCTGCTTTTGCCAGTGGAAAGGGTGTGGGGGCTTTTCATTCTTTCCTTTAGCTTCACATGACCTAGGACCTCACTTACAAACTAGTATGTGTATCATGTGGTTTGGCCCTAAAACAGAGGTTGCAGCACCTCCTCTACCACCACCACTCAACATCTATAGCCACAGAAGCTTTGGCAGAATTCTTCCCTTGTGATCCTTATAATTATTTGCCTATACCTAAGAGTGAATTGGAATTAGCTGAATAATAAGAGGAAGGCTGTTCCTAACTTTGTTACTATTCATTCTTGGGTTGTGGGGATCTAAGTGTACATGTCCTCCACAGGAAAGTGGATCAGTGGGCAGTGTTACTGTTACTGGCCCTTCAGCACATTCTCAGTTTAAAATATATCATAATCTTTTGCTGACAAAAAACATAAATTATGCCTTTGGGGGGGGGGGAAGTCTATGCTTTCAGGTTATGCTACAATATGCATTTTCCAGGGAGTACCTGAAATGTTTCATGTATATCAATATTTCCTGTCTATATATCTATATCTATATGTGCGGCACCATCTGTGGTTTGAAGTCATAGACAGATACGACAGATCTTTCTACAAACCTGAGAAAAGCCACAGGTTTGTAGAAAACTCTGAAATGTTTTTTAAAAATGAGGCCTACAAATGATGCTCGGGCATGCGCAGTATGGCTGGGGGCCGGGATGCGGTGGCACAAGGACGTGCCGCCGATCCCACAGCCCTGCCTGAGCCGCACCAATGGATGCAACCACCTAGAGAGGTGGTTGTTTTTTGCGGCGCAGTATGGGCCGTTGGGACGGATCAGGGACGGAGACGGCACGCTCGCCAGATGTTGAGGTGAGATCGCGCCTGTTTGCTCCGCCCCAGTTCCGTCCCGCTCCCGGCCCAAATGGGCTCGTATGAACGGGGCCTTAGATGTGCCTCTAGCACTTAGCAGCTTATATTCCTTTTTGTATTCCTTTTTTCATTTAAACTAGTGGCAATTTGTTAGCTCTGCGGTGGTAATAGTTTGAAATGGCTTCTGTGTGCGAACAAGGATTCACTCAATAACCTTATAGTTTGTGGTTCATGAGCATAAAAATTCCAGGAAATTTCATTCTTGAAATAAGTGCAACTTGGCATTCCTCAAACTTTTAATATACAGTAATATTTTATTTGCTGACAGTTCTCACTCTAGTTCATAGATATATTTTGAAATATGTACATATTACTTACATACACATGAATTATTGTGTTCTGCCTTAATGATTAAGCAATCGAAGATACTAAAGTACAAAGTGCACCTTCCTTCATGCATTTGCTTGTTCAGTTGCATGGGGTGTGCTTTTGATGTGTGTAATGAGCCCAGGTTGCATTTGTAAATAAAGCTGTGTCTTTTATTCATATATAAAAGGTCTTTTTGTGAAATTTCAGCCATACTGTCATTGAGAGCAAAACATCCATTTTGTAAACTGAAGCTAGGAGACTGGCACTGAAATTAGAATTCTGTTAGTACAAGCAACCAACTGGGAAATTAACTGAATAAACAAGCTTTTTTTACATGTTGTAAGGTTTTCAGAAAACTTAGGCTTAAGATGTAAATTGCCACCACTATATAAACACTATTCTAAATATGTAACTATTTCAGTACATTAATGAAACTATGTATGCCATATAAGCACTCCAGAAACATAAGATTGCTTACTTCATATCTTTTAAAAATGTTTCCTATTCAACAAGAGAGTCATTAATTTTTAAACTGCAAAAAAGGTTTTGTTCTAGAACAATGCTTGTGTAAACTTTTTTTTTTACTGTTGTTATTTCTAGAATACACCAGTGGGAACTCCAATTTTCATAGTGAATGCCACTGATCCAGACCAAGGGGCAGGCGGTAGTGTGCTTTACTCTTTCCTGCCTCCATCCAACTTCTTTGTTATCGACAGTGGCCGTGGCATTGTGTCAGTCATCCGAGTACTGGATTATGAAGTCACTCAGGCCTACCAGCTTCAAGTCAATGCGACAGTGAGTATGATGTTTCCTGTTTCTTTTGTCCCTTTTAAAATTGAAAATCTTATGTGTAGAACCCTACAATATAAACTCTGGGTTGGGAAATACTTGGAGATTTTGGGGGTGGAGCCTGGTGATGGCAGGGTTTAGGGCTTTTGTTAATTGAAGTTTCCTTTTTGTATTTAGTTTTCTGTCAATATTTTCCTCTTCTTATGTTTTTAAGGACCAAGATAAAACCAAACCTCTTTCCACTCTGGCTAATCTTGCGATCACCATCACAGATGTGCAAGATATGGACCCAATTTTCATCAACCTGCCCTACAGTACGAACATCTATGAGAACTCTCCTCCGGTAAGAGCCTTTGACAGGTGTTTTTAAATTACTGCAGCAGGAATTCTCATACAATCCTCATTGAAACCTCCTAGCTTAAGTGCAAGTTAAGAGTTGTCACAGTAAGATGAGGAAGTAGATAGCAGGGCAAGGAGTACTAAGGCCCTGGTCACACGGGCTGGATATTGCGCGGGGAAGGCGTGGCTAATTGCCCCAGAGGAAACTAACGCGCAGCCGCCCGAGCACACATCCCGGTCGAGGACCCGTGGTTAGGGGGGAGATGCTGACCAGACGGGTATCTTGCAGCACGGCACAGAAGCCACACCAGCTATCGCACTAGCAATCGCTCTTTATGCGCATGCACTGTTGGGTGCTGTTGCGCAACCTGCGGAGACGGGCGCCGGATGCCACGTAAGTCCACCGGAAACGCAATCAGACACCCTCCCTTGGCCCGCGGTTTCAGGAAACTAGTACCTCATAAGTACTAGTTTTTTAATCCGCACCTTTGGCGGGGAGCCACGGGTTCGCCACGGGAGCACTGCGCTTCCCAGATGTTGGGGTGTGATTGCACCCGGAAAATCCACGGGACTCCCGTGCCTCTCCCACGGCAACTTTGCCGTGTAAGTATGTTAATTTTGGAGAAGGATTTTTTCCCCCTTTTCTGAAAACCATCACTGAATTTTGTGTTTAAAATTTCTTTCATGAGGTAGCTTCAGGCCAGGGCTCAGTGCCAAGAACATGTTAAAGAGGGTATCATGGCCAAAGAGGTGCAACTTCACAGATCCTTCTAGCACATTTTATGCATATGGTTATTTATTCTGTACAGAGCCATACAGGGCTCCATAGCAGGATCTAGCTGTCTTATAAGCAGGCCCCCTCTCAGGAGAACATAACATGCCCTTAGTTGAGTTAATGTGGTCATCAGATCATTGGTAAATTCAATCAAACAAATAGATTTTAGCGAGACCCTATGACCTGTGTTCCCCTCATCTAGTGTTATAGAATAACAACAATAATACTTAATAGCATCCTTTTCAAACTGTGCCTAAAGAACAGTTTGGGAGCACCTGATAATAAATTACTATAGGTGTAGATATAGGCCTATTATGTGTGCATAGCTTACCACAGATTTTCACAGTAGTTGAGTCGAGAAGCTTCAATTCAGATTCTGTGCTTGTGTTTTGCACCATTCTTTTTTCTCAGGTTTTTTGTTTGTTTGTGAATTGTATTATATTTATTCTGCAGCCAAAATGAAAAATCAGGCTTTTCTTGCTTAGGGAAGGGGCATTACTTGTGACTAATGGTGGGGCCAAACTTCTTTTCTTTTCTTTTGCTTTGTGCATTCGCTGTATCACAGCTGTGCAGTAGCATTAAGTTAAACCCTTCCATTCCAGTTCCCAGTGTTTTGTGTTTGTGCATGCACTTTAGCATTAGTCCACTGATTGGACAGATTGTCTTTGAGCTTTTTTGAAAATATTCACCATTTTCCCATCATTTGCACTTACTTGCTGGTCACTATTTTGATAGTCCATTAAAGAATCTCTGCATGTCGATTGCATCCCTTCCTCCAGATGGATCCTGAGCAATTTCAAGATCTACTATGTATTTACATTCTAGCACTTTGGGAAAATAAAATAAAAATATGTTGCATCTAGCAGTTGCTGCAAAATCACTACATGGGCAGGTTGAAATAGATGGCTTCGGAAAGCCCCCCTCCTACCCCCTTCTCGTCTCCAGAGAAAGCAAAACTAAACAAGGGAGAAACTGGCTAACAAATGGAGCTTTTAATCAGTTGCAGCCAGTGAAGTCTCCCCCCACCCAAGCCTGGGAAGGGTTGTGTGTGTGTGTGTGTGTGTGTGTGAGAGAGAGAGAGAGAGAGAGAGAGAGAGAGAGAGAGAGAGAGAGGGTGGTGGTGGTGGCTTGAGCTGAAGGACCAGCTCTGCTGCTGCTAAGGAAAGCCAGTAGAGGAGGAAGAGGACTGATGTTGCCCAGATCAGAAGTGATGTACTGTGGTACCAAGATAATCATGCACACACACATTCACAACCTGCCTGCTTTCTAAAGCATCTGACTTGAAGTTTTTAAAAGGCAGGCTCTGGGTCCCTCAAGAAGGGGGGAAATAAAGGAGATGCTGGAAGCAAAAAGTGTGCAGTACTGTGAGCCTGTGCACCTTTACTCAGAAGTAAGTCCTGAGTTCAGTGGCTTTCATACCTCAAAATAAATATGCATAGGATTGGTGCAACATTACACTGGGAACTGGGTCCTGGGAATTTAAACTCTTGATTAGCGTTTTATTGCTAGACTCATACCAGTAAATTAAAAAAAATTAAACGATGGGAAAATAATTAAAAATGGTAGCTGTACAGCAGTGAAGGAGGGGGAATGGCAGAAGGTGGCTGAATGGGTGGGACAACATTGATGTGGGCTGGGGAGCAGGCATCAAGGGGTGGCAAAAGGCTGGGGGGGGGAATCCGATGAAAATATTACGCTCTTGGATATGTGAGCAAACAGAAAGTGAAGCGAGCACTAAAGGGAGGAAAACATATGTAGAAACAAAAATAACCCCGACAGACATGTGTGCTGAAAGCAATGGAAAACACACATGCGTAATAGCCCATAATCAATGTGTGAATGGAAGATCACATACAAATCACCCAGAGCTTTCTAAAGTAAAGGTGAGATATATTTATTGATGTGGAGAACTTTCTCACTTCATTTCTGCAGAGTTTCCCACCATTCTATCCTATAGTGTCATATATCTTTAAATACTTTGAATTGTCTTTGATATCTTTTTAAATACCTCTTGTACATGTATGCATTTTACCTCCTGAAAAAAGCTCTTTTCCTTCTCCCCTTGGCTTGTGCAAGAGTTTGAGCTTCACTGATGTGCATAATTGTGCATAATTTAGATAAGCTTTTTCTCCATCTTAGGAGTGCTTGAAAAAATGCCCATCTATGGCCCCTGCCATACGGGGGGGGGGGGGGTGCGGCTTTGGGAAGCCGCACCAAAATAGACACGCTGCTGCGGGATCACACGGATCCCCTGAGCCGCGGCGCCGTTGCTCCCCGGCACGATCAGATGCTGGGGAGGAAGCCACGGTCAGGAGACCGAGGCAGCCGGCTGCGCATGCATCTGCATGCGCAGTTCGACCAGAAGCCGGGGATGTGCCCGGCCGTTCGGGTAAGACCACCTCTGTCGGTGGTTCTTTTTTGCTGCGGGGTTTCCGGGGTTAGGGACGGATCGGGGATGGGTGTGCGCCACTTCCCAGATGTTGCGGTGAGATCACACCCGTTTGCTGTGCCCCCGATCCGTCCCTCTCCCGGGCCAAAACCCTCTGTGTGACCGGGACCAAAGTATGTATCTGTCACATTTTTATCCCACCCTTTCTCCAAGGAGCTCAAGAGTGGCATGCCTGTTTCTCCTCACCTTTATTTTATCTTCACAATTCTCTCAGGTAGGGTAGGCTGAGAGAGAGTGAGTATCTGGAGGTCATGTAGTTCATTCATAGCAGAGGAGCTACTAAAAACTGAACCTACCTGGTCTTAGTCTGATACTCTAAACACTGTACTTCATAGACAATTTCTCCTTGTGTACTGTGGTTTTTCTCTGAATCATGTTTATGCAAACTTGGGAATTAAGTTCCAAGTTCTGAATTCCCAGTGCCCATTTGATCAAAAGTCTTCCTGAAGGCCATGCTGCAGATTTGAGGACTTTGCAATTTATGACATTGCCTCATGAATAATGCAGAAGCCACTGTTTTGTAACAAGACGTGCTAACTAAATGTTGAAATAGATGGGGATGATGCAGGAAGTGTACTATGCTAAAATTGTAGTTGTAAATGTAAGAGATTCTGGGTCTCTCCAAAAGAAGGGTTTGTTTTTCTCCCTATTAGAGGGTGTTTTAGATATTTAACCAGTAAAGCATTTGATCACAGCTTAAAAGGGTCAAGAGTAGATGGAGAAGAGTAAAGTCACTGATTAATACAAATAGATGAAAGCGCTGCATACACTTTATTGCAGAATTTAAGTTAAATCTTTTCTTCACACCAGACAGTATGTGAAAGACAGAATAGGAAAAATCCCACTTAGTGTGTTAATAAGTGGGTAAAGAAGAACGATGTGGTATTACAGAAGTGGAAATCCCCGCTAGTTTCTAAGACTATGGACTGGCTCACCTTTACTGAATGACCTTGTATCCATAAAAAAAATCTCTCAAATTAAATGACAACATAGCAATGTCCAGAACTAAATGGTCCTTTTGTGCTGATATTTTTAGTGACAATTAATGTCAGAAGGCAAAATTACACTGGAACAAAAAAAAATCTAGAAAGGTTTGATTGTCTTAAGTTATCCATTTGAACTTGATCTGTACAAAAGAATTAATATGAGAAGCAGTATTCTGATTGAGTGTATCACATTTGTCTTTCTTAGAAATTTTAATGTGTATCTCTTTTACACTGACTGATTTCCACATCATGTTCTCTGTTGTCATGCAGGTGTATAAGACAGGTAAATGTTCAGGGAAGGTCCTCTGTGTGACTGACAGATTAAGAATGAACAATGGCATGTATTTTTCTCTGGGGAATTGCTTGGAAAAGTCAATAGAGAGCACACCAGAACATAAAACTGCTTGAGCATATTGACATTTGTCTCTTGTTCTCAACATGACCGAAGAAAATGTCTTGCCAAAACACCAGTCATGAGTTATTATCCTTATCTTTCTTTCCTCTCAGTATGCTTTGAATACTTCCATATCTCTAGGGTATTAGCTTGCATCTCTGGCTAGGGCATTTTGCAGTCTAATTGTCTCAGTGTTTCTACAAATGGTGGACAGATGTAAAACAAATTTAGAAACACAAATGAATAATTACACCTGATTTATAGGACTTTAGTACCTTTCCCACTTGTTTGAATCTAGAAGTGATCCTCTCTTTTAAATGCACCAATTAGTTTGAGAATTATTTTCTGTCCATTTTTGGCTCTCTCTTAATGTACTGTGTGAAGGTAAACTATTCTCTTG